CCGGGGCACCATTGACCAGGGGGCATCCCCGCAATAATTTATAACAAGGAAAATGCTTCCACAGGTGTCCAAAATATCCTCCACTCAGTATCACTTTTTTGGGGGAAGCCCTACATGAGATTTATAAAATCATCTTTGCAGACAGTGCTAGCCCAGGGGATGGGTGGATCCCAGGGTCATCCTTAGGAGCCAGTCACACTGCTGTTCTGTTGCCTCCCACACCTGAAGCGAAATGAAAACAAGTAAGTGGTAATATCCAGGACAAAGGTAAAGAAGTCGGCACACACCCTGATGTTTCTTCTTGGGTTAGGATGGTAGTGCTCCTGAACTGGTTTGATCTTGTCTTCAACATTTGCAACCTCTTGCATTATCACCTACCAGGTACCAGGCACTGAATTGCTTTAATCCTGTTATCTTAATCCTCTCAACAACCCTATAAAGAAGGCATTGTTTTCCCCTATTTAGAGACGAGGAAGCTGGGATTTAGACATTTAAGTGGCTGCCCAAGATTTTAAAACTATTAAGCACGTCTGTGATTCTGCCACACTCTTACTGCTGCACTCATGGCTTCCAGCCCTTTTAAAGCCTCATGCTCCGTTTAGGGGGGACAAGGGGGCAACCTAATGAGAAGGACTTGAGCAAAAGGAAAAAAGGATCTAAGAGGCATCAAACAGAACTATCTGGGCTCTATTGGGTCCCCAATTCCCCTGCTCTAGCCGTTGCCCTGAGAGCCCACTTCCATACGCCAACACTGCAGCCACTGCATTTTTCTACCTCCCTGGTCCTAGTAGCCGGAATTTCCAGGCATTCCCAGTGGCCCAGTTTCCAAAGCCTTTCGGCCCACCCTTTCACCCCTGCAACCCCTACAGCCACGGGTTCAGCAAACCCAACTATCTCCAAGCCCATCCGAAGTGTCCACACTCTTTGGGGATTCTGACCCCGGAGTTGCGTGTTCTCGCCCCAACTTTGGCTCCTCCGGAGACCCCACTCGCTGCGCAGGCGCGCTTGGAGCCACGCCCCTTGGGGACTACCGCAGCTGGGGCTGGTCCGGCTCGACTCTGTTCCCTTGGCAACGCAGTACACAAACGCGAACCTGAGCAGCGCGCGCGATGTGCTTTTACAAAGCGGGTGAGAGGAAGGCTGCCTTAGAGGGGTCAAGAGTGGAGAGCAAGGGGAAGGCTGGGGAGGCCGGGGTAGACGAAGCGGGGAAATGCGGCTGCTCCCTCCCCTTCATGGAGTTTGGTCTGGTTCTTAAGAATGGTTGGATCCTGCTCTCTGCTCCGCCTCCCCACCCCCCACCCTTCCCCAACATGCTCAGTTTAGACCCTTAGACCCGGGGGTCTCCCCTCATGTGGAGTTTCTCTTTTTCTTGATCTTCAGAGACACTGTTTCACTACTCCTTTGGAACATGTCAACCGAAGAAGATCTTCCCTCACTACCATCCTCCAAACTATTTGGGGAACAAGTTTGTCCCTTTGAGGGGAGAGCCCCACAGAGGGCCTGGATGTTACATAACAGAAAATGTGAGTATTCACCTTCCCTTAGGTGGGTCTCAGTGCCCCATCTATCTAAAGATACCCAAGTTTCTTGGAAGAAAAACTATGGAATTTGTGATCTTCAGGGTCCCAACATAAGAAGGTGCCCTTGTCCTCTGCAATCAGCTGTCAGGGTCAATGTCAGAAACTATAGGACCATCACTCTCCCCTTTCCATTCCCCCTCCCCCCAATCAGGCCTTTGTTTCTTATAGTACCCAGTATAGTCCCCACCCCATTCGCACCTCCAAAGGCCTGTGAACCAATGCCAATTACCCTCCCATTAGTCTAAACCTGGACTGTGGATGTGCTGGTAGATTAGTTTATGAAATAATGTGATCAGACTGACGCATTAGAGCAAATTCAGCTCTGTGGGGCTCAGAGGACTGGATTCACTGGGAGGCATAGAAATGTCACTTACTCCACCTCTCCAGGCATATTTACAAAATTACCTGTGTTATTTATGTAATTGTTTGCATGCTCTTGACCCACAGGAGTCAAGAAAGAGAGCAGCTTTTGCAGAGAAGTTTCAAATAAGAGCATTCTAAGTTCTGTCTGTTTTGATGACTGTAACATTCTCTGTGTGTTTTTTTCTCTTTGTTTTTTGTTTTTTTATATACTACCCAAAGAATATGTATGACTTGGTATACAACCTCTCTAAGATCCCGACCAGTAAAAAAGGATATGCTTTTGGAGCCAGAACAGCCGTGAGGTTTAAGCCAATCAGCAAGGTCAGAAGTGGCTGCGTGTGCTTACATTTTAGTGTGATCCATGTTGTTGCATGTTTTGCATGGGAGAGCAAAGGGCAGAGAGTGGAGGTTACCTAAACTATGTGAGTTGAAATGCAAGGAAAATAGACATCTAGGCAAAAGCTATTAAGCCTATCTGAAAAACTTGGGTATTAGCATTGCACGTGTGTGCAAGTGTCCTGAGAAAGTGGAAAACAATTCTCGGAAGAAAGGGTACCAAAGACAGCTTCAGTGCTGAAACACCTGCCATTAAAGTACTGGAAGCTTTGTTTATAT